CCTCCTCCTCCTCCTTAGGCTCCTCCTCCTCCTCCTCCTCCTCCTCCTCCTCCTCCTCCTCCTCCTCCTACCACTCCCTGGTCACAAGTCGGTGGTGTGGTACGGCGAGGCAAGCGGCTGATTTGCCACCGGCCCATCGGAAATTATTTCCGTATGGTCCCCAGTGTGTGTGGGCAGTGCAATAACATGCTCTTGTCATTGTTTTTTTTTTTGCTGTGTGGGGTATTCGTCCGCAAGTCGGAGGAGGAAAGGGTACCCGTACCGCTGCCCTTCCCTCGCTATCGCCTTTCTGAGCCTCCCAGGCGGCCCTCGTCGCCACCGCTGGATTCGCCTCGAAACATCCTGGGTAGAACGCGCCCTGGGAGAGGTCCTGTGACCTGCAGTACCGGGTGTAATGTCAGTGCTTCTTCCGCCGTCCGATCACCCCTCAGGGCCACCGCCACGACTGGTCGAGCAGGGCCGTTGTGCCTCCTTCAAAGGCTGCACGGGCAATCCTGGGTGTCTGGCTCATGTCGGCTGCGCGCGGGGGGGGGGGAAGTGATAGGGGGCAGGCCTTCTCAGAAGGCGGAGGGGCTTCGGAGAAGGCCTAAACAGTTTCTCAGAAGGCCGTTGGCTTTCCGAGCCTGTGGAATGTGCGGGAGTAACTGTTGTGGAATACAGGGAGACACGAAGTACAAGTAGGGGGACCCGTGCTATGAGAGAGCACGTTCTCTTTTTTTTACGGGGGCCGGGGCGCGCCCGTCGCCGGCGCACCAGGTGACTCAAGGGCCCTTGTGAGCCACAGCGGCGGCACACAAGGGAGTGCAGAGAGAGGCGCAGGAGGAGAAGGAGAGGCTGACACGGGCATGACAAAACCACAGGGCCTTCGAATAGTCTCCGCCCCGTCTGCCTTTCACCCTTGGCGCACCGCCGATCGTGAGATCGATCGAGCGCGCACCATCACTGCCTGGTAGGCATCCCATCACTCCCCCTCCTCCTCCACCTCCTCCTCCTCCTCCTCCTCCTCCTCCTCCGCCTCCTCCTCCTCCTCCTCAGAGGGACGCCCTCAAAGTCGACATCCAGATCTGTCCTGGAGCGTGTCCCGACCAGGACTCCGAGGCGGCCTGTCGTACTGGCAGCGACGCGGTAACGAGGTTGCCCGAGAAGGTCTCCCACAGTGGCAAACAAGCATCGAGATCTCCCCTCGTCGTCATTATGGTCGTCCTCTTCCTCCTCCGCCTCCTCCCAGCCTCCAACATCGCGATTTTGTTCGCGGTGTGGGCGTCGAGGTCCAAGCCCCAGTCGCCTGACAAGTTTCCTTTGACCCCCCTCGCAGGCCGAATAACTTGACCTCAAAAGACATGTGCTTCTCAACGCCTGGTCTTGTGTGTGTGTGTGCACCGGGCGGGGGGGGGGTAATCATGACGTGCCCACTTCTTCACCCTCTTCGGGCCTCGTCGCCACGGCTGGAGCCGTCTCCGAGGTCCATCTTCCGCCTCCTCCCCTCCTTCGTTCTCCTCGTCCTTGTCCTCTGCCCCTTATTTACTTCTCGTCCTTTCTCTCCCTTGCCCCCATTGGGAGGACGACGTCGACGGTAGCGACGACGAGCGCACTCGCCGCGCCGACGCCAGGAGAAGGATGCCTACATGAACACCGAGCGTGGGGATGAGGCTGCCTCCCCCAAGCCACTGCCCCTCGAGCCCAGGACGAGGAGGAACACAGCGATATGGCAGAGGGAGGAGGAGGAGGAGGAGGAGGAGGAGGAGGAGGAGGAGGAGGAGGAGGATGAGGAGGACTAATAACCATGATAATAATATTCTTAGGAAGAGTATTAGGAATCACAATAATACATACACTTTTACTACTAATAAGAATAATACGAAGAGCCACCCTAAGACGAATACTACTAATACTAAGGCTTCTAATAATAATGCGAACAAGAAGAATAAGACGGATACTGATACTATCAATAAGAAGAGTATTAATAGTAAGAAGAAGACTAAGACGAATATTAAGCATACCAAACTAAGAACACGACGAATACTAACAAGACGAATGCTACTGAATCATTATAATAATATTATTAATGATACCAATACTAGTAATACTAGTATTAATGAAAATAAGCATATTAATAATACTAAGCATAGAAGCCCGTATAATACTACTACTACCAATAATAATACTAATCCTAATAATAATAGTAGTAATAATAATACTAACATTAATAATCATATTAATATGAATAAGCATACCAATACTAATAATACGAGTAATAATAATAATAAGAATAATCGTACGAAGAATAAGAATATTCAGAATACTACACATTATACTATTCAGAATGCGATTCTTATTCTTAATAATACCAATAAGAGGAGGACTAAGCATAACCATAATAATACTACCGAAACTGAGAATGCGAATACTGATACTAGTAATAAGAGCAATATGAATAATACTACTAATAGTAACAATACGAATGCGACTACTAAGAATAATAATAATGATACTAACAATACGGATAATAATACTAATAATACTAATAATACGAATAATAAGAATAAGACGAAGAAGAGGAGGAGGAGGCGGAGGAGGAGGCGGAGGCGGAGGCGGAGGCGGAGGCGGCGGGGAGGAGAGAGGAGGAGGCGAGCAAAGAGGAGGAGGAGGAGGAGGAGGCGGAGGAGGAGGTGGGAGGCGGAGGAGGAGCGGAGGCAGAGGCGGAGGTGGAGGCGGAGGCGGAGGCGGAGGGGAGGGCGGAGGCGGAGGCGGAGGCCGAGGAGGAGGAGGAGGAGGAGGAGAGGGGAGGAGGAGGAGGAGGAGGAGGAGATGGCGGAGGAGGAGAGGAGGAGGAGGAGGAGGAGGAGGAGGAGGAGGAGGAGGAGGAGGAGGGAGGAGGAGGGGGAGGAGTGGGAGGAGCCTCCACAATTGAGCTACCCCCGCCGGAGAGAGTCCAAGTGCGGGCCCCACGGGAGGCCTCCCCGGCGTTGTGGGGGGCCTCCCCGGCGTTGGCCTGCGTGCAAGGAGCCCCGCCCCGCGCGCGGCCCCCGAAGGCCAGGCACAGGAGATCGCCCCTGCCCAGGGCCACTCTCTGCGAGGCAGGCGAGGGAGAGCCCTCGACCTAAGTCGGGCGTGTCCCTCGACAGGAGGAACACTCAGAGATAGCGAACAAGTAGTCCCGGGGCGATGTTTCGACTGTCTCTGAGTGTTTTGGGAGCACTTTGTGACCACTTTTCGTTTTTCTTCCAGAAACCGCCTGTAGGAGGACATGCCCGACCTAACCCTCGACGCGGCCGGCCGTGGCGAGAGCTGGACACGGTCGGACCGATGCACGGGGTGGCTGAGCCAACTGTCATTAAGTCGGGCCTGTCCCCCTACAGGAGGAATATACAGGAATAGTCCAAACATAGTTGGGGGCTATGTGTCGATTTTTTTTTGGCATCATGCTGGCAGCATGCTGGCGACGCGGATGAAGACCAAGGATGAGGAGGAGGAGGAGGAGGAGGAGGAGGAGGATGAGGAGGAGGAGGAGAAGACCAAGCGCTGTGAGCTCCACGGCGCGCCCCCCCTGTGCGCACTCCAGGTTTCGCAAAAAAGCGTGGGGGGGGGCCCCCCGACGGGGGTCAACCTCGTAGGGGGCCACGTGCGAACCCTACCCCTCCCCCCCACGATGTCTGAGGGGGAGGGTGGGGTTCATTCCACTCGGGAGCTCCCGAACGAAGTGAACCCCACCCCCCCCTCAGAAATCGTGGGGGGTGGGGGTAGGCTTCGCATGTGGCCCCCTACCTCGCCCCGTCGTCGCGCCGCGACGGGGGTCGGAGCGCCTTCGGCGCGCGGTGACTGCCCGGGACGGGGGTCGACGCGGGGCTGTCGGCGTGGGTGACACCCCCCGACGCCTATCAAGAAACTCGGAGCAGCCTGCATGACGGCCAGGAGGACGCAGCTGAGACGCAGATGGACGGCGCCGCTGATACACCGGACCGAGGTACAGGGTGGAGGTCGGTCCGGGGGGGGTGCCCTCGAGTGTTCTTCGCGCCTGCTGGGATGCTCTTGTGCATCCTGGGGGAGGGTGCCCTCGAAGGTCCTTCCTTATTGCCCAGCGGATGGTCTCTCAGGAGGGAAAAAAACACACAGACACAATTAATCGTCGATCCCCCAGAAAATATGGGAAAATATGGGAAATGGGGGGGAAGACAAAAACCCAGAAAATATGGGAAAATATGGGGACTATTTTTATTTGTGTGTATTTATTTGTGTGTCCTAATTTCCCTTCAGTCTCGTGTTCTTCAGGGGGATCTTCTTCGGCCCTTGGGGCCCGGCCGTGCTGTGCAGCGCGGAGATCGCGGAGCGTCCGAGGCCACGTCCCGCCGTGGCTGAGAGGTGGGCCGCGCGCAGCATCGGTGGAGGAAAAGGTACCTGTACCGCTACCCCCCCCTCCTGCTCCTCCTCCTCCTCCTCCTCCTCCTCCTGCTCCTCCTCCTGCTCCTCCTCCTCCTCCTCCTCCTCCTCCTCCTCCTCCTCCTCCTCTGGTGGGCCGCGCGCAGCATCATGGGAGGAAGAGGCACCCGCACCGCTTCCCTTGCCTCGTTGTCGATCTTCTGGGTTTTTTGGGCGGCCCTCGTCGCCAACGCGGGATTCGCCTCGCAATCCTGGTCAGAACGCGCCCCAGGAGAGGTTCGGATGGGTGGCGGTATCCGTG